TAATTTCTATCTTATTTACAAGTTATTTCTAACATATTTTATTGGAATTAAAGATTATTTTAAAGTGTATTACCTCTCTTTTTTAAAATTTAATAAGTTTTTTAACCTTTTTTTGCAAGCCTAAGGGGTAATATCTCCTTTGAGGTATTGAGATTGGAAAGCAAAAGGTAGGCATCTTATAACTAAATTGTTGCATACATAAGGACTATAATTCAAACCATCAATTATTTATTTAAGTGGCAAGAGCTTTAAAACTAGAGGTAGTAATTAAAGTTAAACTTGAATAAATTTGAAAACTCTTAGGGCAAGGATTGAGAGTTTATAATTTTTTTTCCTCTAGTCTTATTCAGATTATTGGACTGTTCAAATAAGCTCAAAGAAATTTTGGCTAGTCCAAAATCAAAATGGATGAATTTAGCTTAAATATTTGAATTCTTGTTTCTTATTATTTATAAAATGAAATTATTTTTCACCTAAGCTTTCGCTTATTATCCACAAACCTCCTGCCAATTTTGCACGTTTTGCACTCTTGAATGAAGTCTTAATGTTCTAATAATTATTTATTTTAAATACTTTTAAAAATATTAAGGAAAAATAAATACAAGATGTTAATTCATGTGCTTTTATTTTTACTCTTTTAATATTTGATCTCACTTTAATTAGGATGGAAACATATGTTGTAGTGTTATGTTACTTGAAAAACCATAAATTTTAAGATAAAAATTGAAATTGGTTAGAAAAATAAAATAAAATAATATTTAACAATTAAAATGTTTGGATCATCCTAAATAAACTCAAAAGCCCAAGATTTTAAGGTAGAATTTAATTATATAAGTTTATATATATATATATATATTTTATTATTTTAAGTTTGATCTGAATAAGTTTAACTCTCTCAAATTACCAACTCTATTTAAAATTTTAAATTTTTTAATTTTATTTCTATTAAATATACATTATTTAACCATATATCTTTAACCAATATTCAATGAAAGGGCAAAAGAAAAAACTTGTGGGAAAAAAAAATCAATCACAAGCTTTATAAATGGGACCAAAAACATTTGCTTTATGAATCGGTCCCGATAGAGTAATGGTTGAATTGTAATTTGTCAATGTGCTTATTAATTAGGCATTTGTAAGATATTCTTTTTTTGACAAATTTTTGAAAGATATTCTTAAATTGTCTTCATGAGGAAACTCATTCAATGGGGACCAAATAAATAATATATGTATCAAAGCACAATCCGGTACAAAAGAAGGATTTGAATATCCTAAAATCCAGATGACCGTCGTCCCACCTGGGTTGCTCATGATTCTTATAAGATAACAAAAGTTACTGATAAATTTGGTCTAAATGAATCAATCAAAGTATGTTCAAGTTTTCCAAAGAAAGTCTGGCCCCAAAAAGAAAACAGTTTTCAAATAAAGAAAGAAAGCAAGAAAGAAAGTGATTGAGAATGTACAAATCTCAGGTATTAATTGACCACCAAAAATTAATTCAGTTGATAAAAATTTTACTCATATCTTATAGGATTGTAGGTTTAAATTTTGGTGAAGATATGTAAATCATATTATTGCATAATTTGTAAATTCATCTTTTAATTGTTCTTCATGCTCAAAAGCAGGTCCTAATTAATCCTATAAAAATCACTATCTTCAAAACCTTTTTTTAGATATAAAGATTTCCAGCATTAAAAAATATATCTAGTGATTAAAATTTATAATTTTGATAGTTAAAATAATTTTGAAATAAAAATACTTTTTGAGGGTAATAAATCTAATTATTGTACCAGCGTTCTATCATATTTTTTTTTTAAATTATAATGTAAATACAATCTTGTTACAGGAATTTTTCAAAATGAAAATATGCTTTAGGATAATGAAAATTGATAGGACTATTTTTTTTCAACTAAATTCAATGACATTTAATTGGCCTGTGGAAAAACTCAGTAGTCCGGTCCAATCTAGCAGAACTTGACCCTATCGAGTTTGAGGAAAAAAAAAATCCAGTGCCAACAAAAAAAAAAACAAACAAACAAACCAAACTTATTTATTCAAATTGAACTGGATATGAAACTCATCTATCAAACTACTTAATTCAGTTTGGTCCTATAAATTTTTTAAAATATATATATTTTTTAATATAATTGAAGTTCACTCATCCATCTTATTGTAATGCTGTCTTGCATATTAGTATTCTTAGTTTTATATGTTTTTAATATAATTTTTAATTTGTTAATTAGTGTTATTAGTTTCGTATGTTTTATTAGTCTCGCATATGTAAAAATGGTAAGTGCTTACTCAATTTTAAAAGAGTAAGGGTGAAGCCCAATATGCTTTTGTTTTTTTTTTTTCTTAATAAAATATATTGCATTATCAAGTGAATTACAGCAAAAGCAGTAGAGTTTAGATTAATTAAATGACATAATAGTTTGATTAATTAGTCTCGCATATTGTGATTATTATACAGTATAACTCTTTTATCTATAGATGAGTTAGAGGAATTGTTTAGTTAAATTTAAACTCCATTATATAATTAATTGATCTTATTTATAAGTTTTCAACATATTTTACCAAAAATAAAAAAAATTTTAAAAATTTTATCCTTGTATTTATTTTTTAAAAACACCGGACACCTCATATTCTTAAATGGGATAATTTTTTCTTGAAGTATTTTTTTGAGCTTCAAAAAGGCCTTTCTATTAGTAGGGTGTTAATTTTGCCATTTTTTGTTGACATAGCATGTGTATGGGCCCACGTACAATAATAAGTAAGACTTTAACCATATCCTTTAGTATTAATTCGCTCCTAAATTAGAGTACCCTAAAGTCTTTTTCTAGAAGTACTGAATTTCTTAAAGTCTTATTAAAATAAAATTTAATAAATATTATCAAAATATTAAATATTTTCATATTTAATAATTTAAATATTGTTATTTATAAATATTCATTTAACATTTATAAATTTCTTTGATCTTCTCTTTGAGACAATGTCTAAATTATTATGCCTTTTTATACGTGTTAGAATTTACTTCAATTTTTAATATTGGTTAAATTTTTTAAATTTTGAAGTTATTTTCTATAATTTTTTTAGTCAACTAATGATCTTCCTCCAAATTATTACACTACTTAAATTTAATACTATCTGTAAGTTGAAGTGTTTGGAGCAAAATAAGAAACATAACAAATAAAGACCAACAATATGCCAACAAAAATGTTCATTTAAAATATATTACTTATTTTATTAATGTGCTATAAAAAGTTACTTAACAAGAGAAAAAAAGGAAAGATGAGAAGAAATTTTTTTTTTATTAATTTGAAGGTTCATTCTCTTCATTTTTAATATAAAATTACAAAATATAAAAAATATTAAAATATTAAAATATTAAATTGGGTGATGTAATATTTTAAATAATAATATTTAAATTATTGCATATTAAAATATTTAACAACAATCATTAAATTTTATTTTAACAAGATTTCAAAGTGCCTAGTACTCCTCAAAAAAGACTTTAGAATACTAAACACTTCTAAAAAAAAGTTTAGGGGTAAATTATTTAAATTATCACCAAAGGACATGGACAAAGTCTTACATGTCATTGTGTATGGGTCCCACACGCATGCTATGTTAGCATAAAATGAAAAAAATTAATGGTTGACTAATAGAAGGAGTTTTTTGCTCTTCAAAAAATATAGTTCAGGCATAAAATTGCCCCACGTAAAAGTATAAGGTACCCAATGCTCCTAAAAAATAAATATGAGGACAAAATTGAATCTCAACCCTTTAAAAATTTATTAATTTCATCTAACAATTTAATAATTTTTTAACTTTTACTCTATTTAATATATATAATTTCTTTCATCAACGTTTGATGAATGGAAAAAGAAAAAACTTACTATAAAAATCAATGATGTCTTATAAACAAGATTAAAATAATTATTATTTTTACCTTAGAGAAAATATAATTTTAGATTTTTGTATTTTGCTCGTATTTTGTTATTTATCCTCATATTTTTTTGATATTTTTAGTCTTTATACTTTTATTTTTCATTATTTTAGGTCCTTTCATAAATAAAATATATGGACCTTAAAGGAATATAAAATAATAAAAAATAAAAATACATGCACCAGAAAGATTAAAAAAAATATAGGGATTAATAATAAAATGCAAGCGAAGTACATGGACCTAAAATTATATTTTTTTTATCTTATAAATAAAATTAGAGAAAATATAAACCCATCAAATCAAATTACTAATCCACGTTCTATCTCTCTACATATAACACATTATTTTATATTATACATAAAAATTATATCATTGATTAATTGTGAAAAATACAAGTGTGCAACTCATACCATGTCATAGACACCTTAATGTTTTTGGTAATTATATTATCACTGGTTTAATATTAGATTAAGGTATATTTTTAATTATTTAACTTTATATAAAATTTTACTTTAATTCTTTAATTTTATAAAATATAATTTCACTCCTTTAACCCTAACCATATTAATTTTATTATAGAAAATTTTTATATAACATTTTTAAATATTAATAAAATATTTTCAAATATTGATCTATCAAATTAATTTTTTTAAAATAATAATTATTGATAGAAAAATAATTATTTAAAATTATTGATATTATAATTAAAAATCAAAAAAGGTAATTTATAATTTTTTTAAAAAATAAAATATTACTCCATTTGTTTAAAAATGTAAAGTATTTTTTGAGAAGTTGGATGTTAAAAAATGTAAAATATTTTTAATCTTTTGAAGTGAAATCATTATTTTTTTTTTTAAAGTACTTCCAACTTTATATTTATTATAAAATATTTTAATAAAAATAAATATGAAAAGATAATGTTAGTTTAAAGGTAAGTAATTATTTTATTAAAAATAAAATTTAATTAAAAATATAAGTTTATAAAGTTGGAGACGAAATTGAATAACACTAATACTGTTAATTAATTAATGTTGATTTTCTTATGGCCGCGGCCTGTGCAGCTCAGTCAGTGATTGATTGCTTTTCCTCTCACTCCACTCTCTCTTCCCGCATCCCCACACCATAGGACTCCGCCCTGCGAAACCATCCCAACCCTTCCATCTCAATCCTCAAGACCCTCCTTCCTCAAATTTTCCCGAGAAAATTACCAAACTCTTTTCTTCTTCAAATTTTCCTCTCTCCCCAACACACGCCATGTACCCATCCCAATAACACTACCTCTTACTTCGCCTTCAACCCTAAGCTCCTCCTTCATCCATGGACTCTCGCCGAGCACCTCGCGCTGTGATTGACCCCAAGGTCCGCCAAGTAGGGTTCTTTGCTCCCGGAGCTCCACCCGAACGCACCCACTCTAGTCCACCCGACCCGTTTTCCCCCAAATCTTCTTCTCCTCTGGTTTCTGATATCTCTCCCTCCGGCAATTCCCTGTCGCCGGTGATGATCCCGCCGCCACGTCATTCGTCCGACAATTTGCTCCTCAACACCCGTCCGGCGGCATTCCCGGCGCCTTCCCCTCTCCGGGGAGATTCCATTGCTGCTGGCAGCTACAACTCTTCATCCGAGTTTTTTCCTGCCCCCATGTCTCCAACCCCTTCCTCTTACTCGAACAAGGCGGTTGCTGAAGGAGATTTGTTTGATGGGATTGCATCGCCGAGCCGTGGAATAAGGGGCCATGCTGGAAAAGGGGCTTCTTCATTTCCTCGGGGAGGTTTTGACTTGACAGCGATGAAGGCTAGCAGTGTGCCGGCTAGTGGATTGACCACGGTCTCGGTTGTGAATGACCCTCTTGGAATTGCGGGTGAGCTTTCGGTTCTTGCTTGCATCTTTTTGAGTTAGTGGAAAGAAGGGAGTCTATTACCTTTGTTACGTAGACATATGCGATATAGTTAGTGGACGGACTGGGAGTATGATTATGATTGTTAAATCAAGAATGCTCTTAGAGTCCTTTTCCGAGTGCTATGGTAATAATGGAATTAAAGGATATATATATTCAATATGTTGAAATTGACAATAGTGCTATGTTTTGGGTTGAGCACCAACAATTGTATAGTCGCCAGTTAAGATTTAGTTAACTGCGGGATATTTTGGCAGAGCATGTCTAGTTTATTGGTCTTTAAACATGGACGCTGTGACAGGAATTTTTTCTTTTATTGTCGTATGTTTAAGCAGATTCACTGCTTTTCTTAAGTGAAAAGCTTGTGGCTGTTGAGTGAATAGTACTGGAGGTCATATGATATCTATTTTACAATACCCTCATTATCAACATTAAGGTGAAAAACTTCTTGATCTTTACGGAAAGGATATATTTAATAGTATTGGTAATGATTTGCAGATGATAGTAATAAGTACATTGTAGTTTCATTAAATTTGTGCTGTTTGAATTTGTTAAAATTAATCCAGAGCTTTATTTGAAACCTTGTATGATACAATCAAAGAGACTTGCAATATTTGCTGAAAAAATTATGTTCTATAACTAAATCTAAACATGGCATCTTTGCAGTGTGTTTTATCTTCACTAGATTAATTTTGATTATGGCATTATTTGGTGTAATGCTTATTTGAATTAAGGACTTTGCTTCTTACAATTGAACACGGTGATTTTTCTTAAAGAATCCATTTTTTCTAGGCTTAATTAAATGAACTAGTTCAAAAATAGCTCCTGGGCTTGATACTTTCTTAATTCTGGTTTTTGATCACTTGGATTCCCAAGTGCATGTTTTCTTTCTACACTTTGTTGAGAAGTTGATGTCTTGCCTCTTATGGCTAAAGCCCAGAACTTGTATGTTTACGAGGACTGGGGCAGTGGTTTTCTTTTTGAGTCATGTGTATCTTTCACTGCTCATGATGTTAATGTCTTCTGGGCTGTCTTCTTTGGTGTTGACTTTAACATTGTTTGTACAGTTAGATCATTTGACTAATGGTTCTTAAATTGGTCTGAGTTTTGCTTGTTTTAATCATATGAAATGCCATCGCATAGACACAATATTTTCTCTCCATGCATGAACCTTTGATGGAGTCTTGCACATTCAGAAATATTCATTTGATTTAGGTATTGAAGCATTTTAAAGTTTTAACCTTTTTCCTCCCCCTTCCTCTACTCATATTAGAGAAAGATAAAGCAGACAAAGGAGGAGGATTGACAGTAGAAGCCAAAGAACAGGCTTCAAGTTCAAAACCCCAGAAGGAAAAACTCACAAGAGCTGAAAGACGTGCTCTTCAAGAAGCTCAACGAGCTGCAAAGGCTGCTGCTAAAGGTTTGTTAACATATTGAAATCCTGTTTAACTGGGATTTTTACATGGTCGGTGTGAGTTGCAGCCATTTGTTTGAAGGTTCTTTTGTGTGGTTTTAATATGTTGCTTGTGGATGCGAAAATTGTTCAGTTCTGCAGCAGATTTGTTTTCATCTTTACACTCGCAACTTGCATGCATCAATTTTTTGTCCTTTCTAATAGTTTTAGCATTCTTAAAATTCGGAAGTTAAATGTGCTAGCATGAGGATTCTTTTCTGAAAAATATCCACCCTGACTCTAACAGTTGTTATGCTATTTGATATAAATGTGTTAGCTGAAGGAAGCAAGGCACCTGGAACAGTGACTTCAGCAAATGCAAAACCTGTTAAAGCTGCAAAGCCTCCTCAAAAGGTTGATAATGCTTCAGTTGCTGCTACTGAGAAAAAGGGATGTGATCGCCCATCAGACAAAGATAGAAAGAAAGATGTTCCTCAACCACGCATGCAGTACGATGATAAGAATCGAGTGGAGAAAGCTAAACGGCGTGCTGTGGTAAAACAAACTGAAACTAGGAACAGAGTTGAGTTGTTCAGACATTTGCCTCAATATGAACATGGGAGTCAGTTGCCAGATCTTGAGGCCAAGTTTTTTCAACTTGATCCCATGCATCATGCTGTCTATAAGGTATCTATTTAATCTCATATCACTTGTCACAATTTATATGTTATGTGGTCCCGAAGTTTATCATTGCATGGTGTTTGACTTTTGTTTTTGTTTTTTGTTTTTTATTTTGTGTGTGTTGAAGAATCTTTTTCATTGCCTTTTCTTTTCTTTAATTGTTTTGGCAATGGCAATTGAAGCTCTCTAGAGCTTCTTTAGTTAGTTTTTGGTCCACATTCAATTTAAAATGGGACCAATAAATTCTTTTTCTGTGAACAGAAATGTTAGTATAAAGATGATTGCTCTTAAAATGTTTTTCTTACCCTGAAAATAGTGATGCCCAGATTCAACTAATTTTCTTGCTCTATAATGTTAAGTCATATGATGCTTGACAAAGGAATAGATCGTGTGCATGTATATAATGCTTGGTATTTTGTAGGCTTTATGGTTGATAATAGAGGTCAAATTTAGATATCATGCATTATGCTATGGATGGTATGCAGTGTTACCTTTATCTTTTACGCTGTTTGGCATGTTGAATGAAATGGAACGAAAAGGAAGATTGGAAGGAAAAATTGATTTTATAGATGAGAAATATTCCTAGTGTTCCTTAGTAATAATCCCACCTAATGAGATAAGGCTTGTTGTTATTGTTGTTTATTTCTTAGTAATCAAAATATAAAATAATAAAAATGACTTTTATTATCAAGTAATAATTATGAGGATAAGGATATCGTGTATCTTGTTTTTGTGTAACGCAAAGGAAATGCCTTTTCTGTGGTGCAATCGGGGCCCTGGTGTCTAATAGTAACAAGAAGGGGGCTAACCTGATTTAGATGCCAATTATGCAATAATATAGATTAGTTATTCTATTATATGGATGTTCCTTTTATCAGAATACCCTTATTAATGAAAACAAAATCTAATGCGAATATCTTTTGGTGCATTTGTGCAAGTGAAATCTACTCTTCCATTTGTTATATCTGAAAATAGAGTTGGTATTAATTTCAGCAAAATTTAGATGTTCATGTAGCTGGTGTTAACAAGTGCAATTGCTCAGATATATAAACTTATGTATTAAAACGCTTGCAATCCAATACACTGAAAGCATACGGGGCCACTTATTCAACTACGAAATAAACACCTAGAGTGAACGATGGAGCAAGGAGCAATATGAATTATGAAGATACTTTCCTATTTTGAATCAAAATTAGAAGATAATCCTAATGCACCATTTGTTATGATGGAAGATTTTCAAAGGAGTTGGAATGGGAGGGGAATGGGAATGAAAATGAGTTTAAATGTTTGGTATGCATGAAAATGGAAAGGAGATACTTCTTCGAATGATTTTTGGTATGATGCAAAGGAATGGATATAAATAAAGTTTAAAAGAGCAGAAGCATACAAAATGATGAACTCATTTTTGTAAGGACATTAGGATATTTTTGTGAATTTCATCCATTCCATCGTCTATAGGACCATTCTATCTACTTGATGACGGAATCATCTGAGATGCTTTTTTTTTTTAACCGGAATGGATGAAGCATTCCAATCCCAGTGTACCCAACTCTAGAAAAGCCCTAATTCATTACCGTTATATTTCCGTAGCATCCTTTTCCATTAAAGCGAGCATGCCGTCAGAGATCGATAAAATTCTCAACATGTTTGAAGCAATTATCAAGTCTCTGGGTCACGTCATTGGGAGAAGAAAGTGGGATGTCTTCTAGTGGCTGTTGATTTGTTGGGGTATGTGCGTGGAATGTCATTAACAAGACTGAGCAGTTGTTTCTGAATGTTTGTTGAGCTCCATCCATTGGCTAAAAAATGAGCTTGGATCTTGTATTATTAATAGCACTTGATTGTTTTACGTTGCTCAAGAAGTCATGTTAAAATAGCTTCAAAACGATTTATAAAAATTTTCTTTTCTCAGCCATGAGTAATAGATGTTAAAATACTCAATGTAAGTATGATTATAATTACTTGCAGATTGTAATGGATATAGTAGTGTTTAGGATCTGTTTAATTATAATTTGTATATTGGACCTTAATATAGATGCATTATCTTATCTCAGTAACCTTATATTGTGGATATCAGGTGGGATTGCAGTATCTGTCTGGTGATATATCTGGTGGCAATGCCCGGTGTATTGCAATGCTTCAAGCATTTCAAGAAGTCATCAAAGACTATAGAGTACCCCCTGAGAAAGCTCTTGCGAGAGACCTAACAGCAAAAATAAGTAGTTATGTTTCATTTTTCATTGCGTGTCGGCCTCTTTCAATCAGCATGGGAAATGCAATTAGATTTCTTAAGAGTCGAATTGCTAAGCTGCCTTTGACTCTGTCAGAGTCAGAAGCCAAAGCTTCTCTTCAGTCAGATATTGATCGCTTTATAAGTGAGAAGATTATCCTTGCCAATAAGGTGATAACCAAACATGCTGTCACAAAAATAAGAGATGGTGATGTTCTCCTTACTTACGGGTCATCGTCTGCAGTCGAGATGATACTGTTACATGCTCATGAACTAGGAAAACAGTTTCGTGTGGTAGTAGTTGACTCTCGTCCAAAGCTTAGCGGTCAACTCTTACTCAGTAGGCTGGCGGCTAAAGGTCTTAGCTGCACTTACACACATATAAATGCTGTTTCCTACATAATGAAAGAAGTTACTCGAGTTTTTCTGGGTGCTTCATCAGTATTGTCTAACGGTACAGTTTACTCTAGAGTTGGGACTGCATGCGTTGCAATGGTTGCTCATGCATTCCGTGTACCTGTCTTGGTGTGTTGTGAGGCTTATAAATTTCACGAAAGGGTGCAGCTTGATTCGATATGCTCAAATGAACTTGGTATGTCAATTTACAACTTTCCATTGGTATCTAGTTTTCCTTGGGTGTGGGAAATTTGACATTCCCATAAACATTCTTGCAGGAGATCCAGATGTCATTTCAAAGGTTCAGGGTAGAGAGGATGTCAACTACTTGGATGGTTGGGCCAACACAGGAAATCTGCAACTTCTAAATCTCATGTATGAAATTAAGTCAGTCTAATTCAACACCAAAATTTTGTCATTTTCTAACTCTGACCTTGCATTTCTTAAAATATTTTGCAGTTATGATGCCACGCCTTCAGATTATGTTTCAATGATAGTCACCGATTATGGCATGGTAAGTGCTGGACTTTCAAAGAATGCACACACGATAGATGTGCCCAAACTATGGATAGATGAATTGGATACATATAATTTATCTCATGATTCGTTTTTTGGGAAAGTGTCATCCAAAAAGAGAGAAGCTTGGAGTTTAGACGTTGAAGAACCCACAGTAATATAGAGCGAAACAGCTAAGTTAAACTTAAAATCATCTTCATTTTCCTTTAAATAAAAGAACTCCCAAAACTAAGAAACTTTGATTAGAAGTGGGGAGGGCTAGAAATGATCCATTCCTACGCAAAGTAGGCAAAAAGTCCTCATAACAAAGCTCTTCAATTGCAATAAAAAAAACTTCAGTCTTCCCTTTTCTTCTCCCACCCTCTCTCTCACACACAAATGCATCTCAAGGGGCATGAATGTTTCATATCTTTAAAACAAATATGATGTCTTATTCTTTTTTTTTTTTTTCAGGTCCCACCCACAAGTGTACCCGTAATTGTAAGAGAATATAGGAGAGAACAATTATGGATATAAATGATGAAATGTGGATCATCTCATTTTTGTCTACCTGTAAATGTGGATCACCCACAAGTCCAAACCCCCAATTTAGCAGCCGGGTAAAAAATAAGACTTGAGAAGGTTGTTGTGATGCATCTGTTTTGGTATTGCATTTTTGGATCTGGGAATAATGTGTAACGGGCCGTTTTGATCTTTTGAAATTTTTGGACTTTTTGTCGGTGTTCGTCTGCCTCAGTGCAGAGCGCGAGTTTTCGCCTCTCCAGCCAGGCCATGTTTATCCCATGCATTCTCGCCTGTAATAGTTTTTGTTCTAGTGATGTTCAAATTTTGGATGATACTTCACTCACAATTTTGGCTTATGTTAAAGTCTTTAGTTTGTTCTTAGCGCTTTCTCTGGTATTCTTTTTTTTCTTTGGGGGTTTTGTTCCAGAGTAATCCTTCGTTTAGTTTGACAGTACCTTCACAATTTTGGCTTATGTTGTAGTCTTTAGCTGTTCTTTGACCTTTGCCTGGTAATTTTTTATTTGGTAGAGTAATTCTTTGTTCAGTTTGAAAGTACTTTACTCGAGTCGTTTAATGTATGCCACATAAATCGAGGTGTTTATGACATTATTATCTTATGAAAATGAAATAAAATGTGAAATGAAAAAAATTATAAATGTGAGATGTTAGTTGCAATTATCATGATTGATGCAATGATTGGTTGTATCACTAGAATCTAACTGGTTTGACCGATCGGGTTGGTTTGAGTTCTAAATATCGGCACAAAGTACAATTTATTTATGATTTATTAATGCTATGAATTCTTATGAATTTTATATGATATATGCATCCTATAATTAATTGCAGTTTAGTCATTCACAAATTGGAAACGAAAACAGAGTTAATTCATTCCTTTTTTGTAAATAAATTAATTCATTCTTTTTAGAGAGAATTAATTTGCAGCTGGAATTAGATTTAGTTTTTCTTGATTTTAAATTAAATCTATGTAATTTATTTTGTTTTAATTAAATGTTTAATTAATTACATGTGAAAGTCTTTGAAAGTTAAAATTATTTATAAATGATTGTTTTTAAAATTTAGAGTGTAACTCCATTACTGCTTATCTTGCTAAATCAGCCTAGTATTGGAATTAAACTTAATATGCTAATATTTGATAATGGTTTATTAGCAGTTAAAATTCCAATATCAACATTTTCTATTAATTAAATTAATTACGGCTGAAAAATATTTTATAAATTAATGATCAAATTGAAATTTTATATTAAAGAATCAAAAGCAAGCTTTAATCTATGCAGGCAAAACCATAAAATTACTTATCTTGGTTATCATATGCCTATAAACTAAACATCATACTTTCGTTTCTTCTACTAGAAAAGCCCAAATTCACATCAGATTCCGGTAATTATTTTGTGCATGAAATGGAAAAAGCTATCACTAATATACAAAGCAATCGAACAAGTAGTAAACAAATCGATTTAGGAAGAGAGGACAAAAACAAATCTTGCGTAAGTCAAACTTGTTGGTACAGGTAAACCAAACAGAACAATAAACCTGTATGTATATTTAAATAAATTCAATTGATACATCATGCTAGCTGTGTGGTAGAAGTAGAAGCTACACACAACTGTGAGTTGATAAAGCAGTTTGGTAATTGATTTCCTTATGAGGTATTAGCTTTTTCATTAGATGGCGCAACGATTCCAAGAATTACAAAGCCACCTAAAATGACAATCAAAATGCCCAAGGAATTGACCAACATTGCTTCACCGGAATAACGTGATATTACCTTGTTTGTCTGAAGGAATGTAGCTTTTTCTAAGATACCAGTAGTGGCAGTGGCTAGAGCCAGAGCATATATATAGATTCCAAAAAAGACATGCCATGGCAACAGGGTGGCTCTGCTATTTCTTGACCCTCCTGGGTACCAATAAGTAACAAATCCAGCAGCCCACTGTAAAATGGTTACACCGAGAAGTCAGGCAAATACTATAACTGAATCAAAGTCCTATGCTAGAACGACAGAAGTAATGGAGATTATCAGAATAATAAAGGTACCTGAATGAAGAAGAGGAAAAGGCAAGCTAGACCCAACCATGAATGCAGGCTGTAGAAATTCTCGATGCCCTTGTCATTGTGAAACTTCCAAGCAGCCCAGATACCAATCAAGCTTAGAACGAAAGAAAGAAATTGTAACGTGAGATGAACTCCTTTTTTAAAGTTTTTTGTTCCCGGTATTGTTTTGTATGCAAGCATCCCTGCATAATGCCGTAAATATAAGAAGTTATGTTCTTGGGAAGGAACACTGGCCAGGAAACAATCTAAGAATCAGTTAGTGAGGAAATCAATCCACAGAAATTATGTAGAAAGCAGTTATGGGCATTTTGAGGGTTCTGGCTACCTGACGATGGTCAATTATGATCATACCAGAAGGACCAAAACAAGTTAAGAAGAACAGATGTTACAGATGTTGGACACAAGTATGAAACATGAGAGAATAATAATGCAATTTAAAGTGTCACATGGTGTCTAATACAAGTGCCAGACCTGTATCGGATACTATACAACTCCCTCTTTTAAGTATTTGTTTCGTAGAAATCCAGCTCAGATCTGGTACATTTTCTTTTGTAGGAAATGGAGCTTGTAATCAAGTTTGAGGAAGAGGCTAGTTCTAGACCTTTGGATGTCAAAGTTACTCTGGAATCTGGATTAATGATAGGAAAATTTCCATTTTAGGGGTGACAATCAAGATATATTTTTATGGACACAACGCAGGGCTTCCATGCTGCCATGTTAAAATACACTGACAAGCTCTACAAACAATGATTAGGGTATCATAAGAAGACACGTTACCTAGAAGTCAAAAATGAAGATGTCATATCACTAGAACAACAAAGGACAATTCACCCAAATCTAGTTTTGTTACTTCTGGATGAAAGAGCAGGTCAATTGCTAATCATTTTTTCCGAAGCATGCAGCATAAGCGGAGATAAAACAATGCATTTTAAGTCGGATGTTTTCATGCCATCATATTTCAGACTTTTTGTTACTTGTCCATGTCCATAGTTCGGAGGTAACAGATATTACAGATGATACAAGATCTTATTAGATTTTTTAACATTCTGGGTGGGTTCAAAGACTGGTGACTCTACTTTTAAGCAGCCTTTTGCTATCACTTACTGCAATAAATCCTTAAAGAAAGGTGATTGGAAAATCATAATGCGTAGAAGGCATTACACATCATCAAGAAAACAAATTATGAGTGGAATGAACTCCTTATCTCTTGACAGGTATGGCGCAATTTGATTAAATTTCACAGTTGAATCTTTTAATCAGATGGGATTCAAGAATGCATGCTATTAACATTGCAGAGAGATGAAAGGGTTTAAGCATCCTAGCATGTTACAAACATATGAACCATGGCCATACAACTACAGTCTGAAGATATAGTTACATCTTGCATGACCTTTGGCATATCATGGTAAAATCAACTGTTACGTTATAGGTCACCAGTTATTGTTTCATGGCAAAGAAGGATCCTGAACTGAGTCAAGCTTTAGCTAAAAGTCAGAATAATAACCATATACGTCCATTTAACAGTATAGACACTTGGCGTAGATTGAATCATGAGCAATAATGATAAGTTTTATTAAGAAAATTAGGGAATTCACGTGAGGAAATAAAAGTTAAGATGCAGAATCCCTTTTCAGCACCCAAAAAACTTCATGAAAGTTACCAATTAAACATGCAAGGCAGACAAGCCTCAAAGGCCAGAGATGTATATTTTTCAGTGGGGAGAAGTGTGAAAAATAAACGAGAGAATGAAACATTGTGAGCTTAACAAATACTTTAACTGTTAATCAATAGCAGTGTCATATTTCATTTTTACAGTGAGTTCGGGACCCTCAATTTTTTTTTTCTTCTTCACTATTTATCTCCTAGCATTTCCATTATGTTGATCATTCACGTTTCATCTTACCATAGATAATGTTATTAAATCTAATTAAAATTTAAAATTCTCCGGTGGCAACAAGTTTGTAATTGGTGGAATAAACAATCTTTCCAGAATGACAATAAAAAGTCGCAGAGAAATGCTGATATGCTGGCAACAAATTATTTCCACTTAAGAACGAAAGATCGTTTACCTTCGCCATTGATTAGAATAAGTCCAACCACCATCAACACCGGATGCACCTAAGGAGGACATGATAAGAAACCACAGATCAAATACCAATACATGCATATCTTGTTTAAGCAACTAACTTAAAATATTCAATAGAGTGCACAAAAAGTAACAGTCAAACTGAAAAAATTTGCAGAAGTTTTTCACAATAAAGATTTCTATGACTCCTATGAATTCCGGTCTATAATTACTGCACAAAAAGTTACAGTCAAACTGAAAAAATGTGCAGAAGTTTTTCACAATAAAGATTTCTATGACTCCTATGAATTCCGGTCTATAAATTACTCAAGCAAAGTAACACAAACCCTCAGAAAATCTCTTGACAAGTTAAGTAGAAGAAAGTAATGTATTCAGGGCCCGCTTATTCATTCTATTGTGACATTCTTGAAAGCAAAGAAAATACATAATTTTGTCCTCTTAACGCGACTAGGTAATAATCATTTGGCGAAAAGGTCCCATCGAAGTCAAACGTCTCCCTCAAGTTCCACGGACGGACATAATAAGATTAATTATAAAGGAATAGACAACGACCAAAATTCAGTTGACAGTGTCAATGACGATGGGATCAAAGGCCACAATTTATGAACTCACAGCCATCAGCGAACGACCTGACTTGAACAAGCTCAATCAGGCAAATCAAACACCAATACGCGCAAAAATACTACCGAAAGGAAAAAGAAAAGAGACTCCAAGCACAAAGTTCACTGATCATAAAAACTCTTTTCCCTCAATGCACTGCTGCACTCGATGTCCTAAGAAGAATGGACCACAAGAACTAGGAAAGGTCGAAGTAAAGAGCGAAGAGAGTAAAATTACATTAAAAATGAGATCCTTGTTGTCGGAAACGAGAGCAAGGCCTCCTCTGAAACGCTGTGTCCAGACGAAGAGAAGAAGCGTAACCACAATACCGACTAATCTCACCGTCAAGAAGATCGGGAACCTCACCACCGGAGGAGACGCCATTTCCGACTTCTTTGAGTTCAACGTGCAGAGAGAGAGAGAGAGAGGCGGCGTGACTATTTGCTTTTCAAAGACGAAGAAATATGCTGTGATGCGTTGTACTTGTAGATGGTAAAAAAAGAGGGGGAACCATAAGTATCAAATTTCATATTACTTGCTTGAGTTGAACATCCAGGAAAAGAATAGCTTCTCATCGGAAAATCAATTTATTTTAAGGGAAGAATATCAAATAACAAATGTTAAGAGCCATTAGTTGGAATGAATCGGCTTTATTCAAATTAAATTTAATTTAGATTGAGTTTACTCAAATCATGCTTAAAATATTATATTCTTTTAAATAAATTTATATGACCAAATTTAATTTTAATTTTTTCAAAAAAGTTCGAATTCTAAATGTTATCATTCATATCATGCTCCAGGTTCAACTTTTTAAAAAAATCATAATTAAAGACTTAAAAAAAATAAATAATAGCGATTCATAATCATAAAATACTGAAGTTGAATTTATTAAGTGTTATGGTCTTTTTTTTATATGTTAAAAATTTTTCTTGAGCCTAAAATACCCCTTACAGTAAGTACTTGGACTTGCTGCAGCAAACAAGTTTAACTACAAAAAAAGATCATAAATAGTATGGAAATCCAAGTTAGTTTGTTTGGTTGAACTGATAAATTATAAAATTAGTATCTTAACCAGTTTAATAAAATATTTTATTTATGATCAAGTTTGACTACGATTTTAACCACTAATACTTGAATTAGTACTTTAACTGATTCAATAACTAATATAATTTTCAATAATTGGGACAATAGTTCTTAAATTCAATTTCACTCTTTGGTCTTAAATAGTTATTACTTATTTTTTTAGGTCCTTAATTGTGATTTTCTCTAAATCTTTTTTTTCCCCACATGTTAAGTACTTTTTAAAAATATGCAGTATTTTGAGGGCAAAATTAAGAACAAATATTATACTTTAATAATAGAGTATCATTTATGAATAATCTGACCACTGAAATATTAATAGATTTTATTGACCTTAACGTCATGTAATAATTTTATTTTTCTTAGGGGATAAATTTAACAATTTTATTTACTAGGGTACTTCAATATTAATATATCACTATAAAATAAAAGACAAACCTTATAAAATGTCCATTTATATAGTGCACCTCATTTTTCAATCTCTTTATAAATTACATAAATTATAAAGTACAGGCCCCGCATCTAGTTATAATTGAATTTAAATTTAACATTTACGTTAAATTAAAGGTTAAAATTTTGTAATATAGATTCTTTCTTATTGAGTGTATGGTTTTATGAAAATGAAAATAATATAAAATGATATTTATAACACTCAATTCCTTTACTTATCTTGTTTTTGTTCCATTACATAGAACAATATCATGCTCGGGTGAATATTAAACTAGGAAGCAATTTTCCCCAAATGTTATAAGAGCAACATTTGGTCATCTTCTAATAAAAATAATAATATAACTTGGTTGCCCATTTTCATTTAAAAGGATTAAAATAAAACATTTACATATAGAAAATTTAAGAAACCGGATACTTCCTATTGATGAGAAAATTTATAAGTTTTAATAATTATCAAAATTTAATAATTGGGTGTTTAATCAAATAAGATTTCTTACTATTAATCAAGATGCTAACCAATGAAAATTAGTTAGAATTAGTAAAAATTTAACTCATAATTCACAAAATTATGAACATAAACCCCACTCTCATTGTCAATGTGAGCACTCTATTAATAGACGATCTTTAAGTATTATTACAAGTGCTTTTTGAACTTAAAAATATATTCTAGTCTTGATAAGTTTCTGCAACCAACTTGCATAAACTCTCTTCATAAGGGGAAAAAAAATCAAGATACTAAACAAATACACAAGTATAAGTGAAGTTTTGCAAATATAACATTCCAAGATAATTAAGTTGGTGTGATAATTATACCTTTCCCGAAATGAATTTCCCTGTGTAGGAACTAACGAATTCATGATGCAAACCAAAAACCTTTCCAGGAAAGGAAAATGTGTTTCCTTACGTACAAGAGAAATCTTATTGGAAGAAAATAAAAAAGTGAGACCGATTGAGAAATCTATAATTTCGAATCTAATTTATCTCTTTTCTGTTTCCGCACGCAAGGTTTTTTCCCCTTCCCCTAATGAGAGGGTGCTTGTTTCATCTGTTTTAAATTCTTCATCTGGGTTTGATTCAATGATAAGATGTCTCCACGAAAAATTAACACAAGAAAAATTAAAATTAACTGAAAAATATTTTAACTGAAAAAAGAATATGCACTTGAGCAATTAACGCTATTTCAGTTTAAGAAAAAAAATTAAAATTAAACAAGAGTCTTGTATTACTTGTTGCTTCTGCACGTGCTTGTAATGAAAAATAAACTCGTATAAGTACCAAAAAAAAAATTATAGAATTTGCTCAAAAATATGCGCGAGCAAATACAAGTGAATTGAAGAAATTTAATTCTTCCAAACACTATCTCAAACTCATAAAAGTGTGTATCCCCTAAATGTTAAAGTGGCGTATAAAAACAAAAAGTAATAATTCATTTACATGCTAAACACACTTGGTACATGTATGGACACAATTTTTGAAGGCTTAAATGGACTATCAGAAAATTTACTGATGCATGGTTTTATTTATTATCTCAGTTTACCAAATGTAAAGTACACTTGAAAGTCTATTTTGCAAGAACAACTGAGTTTTGCATTTGGAAAAAGTTCATTTGTATTTAATGAACCCTGCCTGCTGGATGCAACATCTAAAATGCATTTACTTGTCAGACACTGAAGAGCTAAAGAATTTCTACTCCAAATCATCACATAATATCAAATGACAAGTGACGACATTCTAAATATCATATATCTGAATATCTAACACCAAGAACTATATGAAAGTATTAATACTAATACTAATACTAGTAGCGTGTTTGGTTTCACGAACTAAATCGCTTTTCTAACGGCCAATTCCTGATAGACTAAGTCACTCTCGAGCCAAAGATTGTAAACAAGCTGCAAATGATAACAGCTAACAATCTTACAATCAAACACACAAGTTAAGACAAAGGGGGGGAACGGAGCAAAGATGCTTCAACCCTTCATAATGGAGCTAATGATAAAAAAATATTTGGGCAGTAAAATATCACACTATTATTTGAGAAAGGCCAGCAGGAAGGGCTAAAGCCTAAAACATGCCAACTTCTCTAGAACTCTGTACAGACCCTAATCCTAATTGGCAAGGGTTAGAGGTAAGTTCAACTTTAAGTGGACGAAACTGTATCTCCACAAACTACCATTATTACCACTTTTACCTCCAGCTGCGATAGTGGCGGCCTTCTGATGTATCCTTCATTCGAGAACGACCTGGGTCTCTGTCATTCAGGCTTTCAGTCCAGTAATTAGGTCTGCCTGAATCATGATCGCGAGGTGAAAGAAGCCTGTGTGTGTGTGAATAGTGAGAGTAGTGAAAAGAACTAAAGGAGGAAGGGTTTGAGGATCCTTCATCACGCAAAGGACTTCTCCAACTTCTCTCTGACTGAGACCTCCCCAAGGTAGGGCTTCCTGTATTGTATTCGTCATCATATTTACTGTACCTTGGATGAAAACTATACATGGATGAGCCATATCCTGGGTCCCCTGGAGGGCCGTCATCCCTGAAATCCATTGACGACTTCCGCTCACGATAATATCCTCTGCTGACATAATCTGTACTAGAGTTTGATGATCTGTGCTGAGGCCGGTTTCTGAAAGTATCTGAGCTTGAAGGTCCAGCAGCCCACAGTCTTTCATCTGCATTTTCTGGAATGGGCGCATTTATTCCTGGAAATTCGACAGTCATTTTTGTTTTTGACTTTGAGTAATCTGCCTCCATAATTTCCCCATCCTCCTGTTCTCTGATTTCTTCTTCACCATATATGGTAATGCCTGATGGCTGATTCTCATCGTCCACATCTAGAATTCCAAAACAATAATTAGGAGTATAACTTTGACAAGTTCAAAAGGTAAACTGCAGACAGTAGGACTTAGTTTTATATAAGGACACAGGAAATACAGGATTTAGCCTTCTATTAAATGTGGTAATTCACCTAAATATCCGGGTGGGTATCCAATTTCTCGCATTCTGTTAAGCCAAGGGGGCGGATCAAGTACCTGCATAAAAGGGGAAAAAAATCTCTAATATCACAGAGAGAGTTGAATTCTGCTACAACCTCAAAAGTTTCCATCCTACAGTCAAAAGCAAAACTAGACAAGCTATAAATACAATTTCCATCTTGATCTTCCAAAATCAAAAGGAGAATCAGAAAACAATAAGATAACATTGCAGCTTATTGTTAAAACCCTCAAACCAACTGCAAGTAGTAAAATGATGCAAAAAAAACCATTGAGAACGCCAATCAATGCTAGGTCATCTTTGAAAGATGGAAACGGGGTTACACTACAAAGATATCTGTTAAAATGAAAATTAATAATTATAGCCAATATCAAAACATCATTTTGAATAACAACTGCTCTTACCCCCAAACCCAAGAGTTGACGTGTTTCAGTATCAAGAGCACCTGGCCTCAAACCATCATATTTTCCAGGAGGAGGATTCTGATAATATCGAGTTGGATTCCGGGAAGCAGGATTCTGGTTCTTCTTAGACTTGTGTTGCTTACGAGCAACATTGACAGCAGCAGTATCACGGGGCCGTGGACATTCTCTCAAAGAATGATCATAGGCACCACAATTAAAACACCGGGGAGCATCACCAATGATCTCTAGACCCCTTTACATTTTGAACAAACCAGATGAAATAAGGAAATTTATTTTGTTTTTCCCAAAAAAAAAGGAAATCTGTTTTTAAAGAATATAATAATATAAGAAATACTTAATTAACTGACAGAAGATACAATAATGAAAATTGGAATGGCACAGTCTTTACAATAAGCGACAGATAAAAGAAAAACATCAGAAACAGAAGGTCCAGGAAATCCTATCCTATCCTAAGGGATCTAGAGAAGAGCTCATAACCCTCTAATTTCCAACCTTCGCACTCACCTTCTCTTACTATTATCCTGCTACCTTCTTCATGCTGTTAATTTGAATTCATGGTTAACATAGGCATTATCCTCAAACACTAGAGGCTTTTCGATTAACAACGTACAAAGTGTTTGGAAGGAAATATCCATAGGGGCATAGAACTTTTAGGTGAGGAGAGTAACACCTACGACCCTTTTGATGTTCAGAGTACCCAAAAAAAGACACTCTCTGACAGATTTTGAGCCAAGTTCCTTCTAAGTCAGGAAAGGATATGAACATATGCAATACACCCAAATAACATTAGCTGCAGGTCAGTGACTGTGTGTGTTTAAGGGAAGACTACAAGGAGAACATGGCACAGAGAATCAGATTTAGGAGTTATTGTTCACGTGAATCTAAATGACCTACCTAGCATTTTTAAAGTATCGATTTTCTTTTGCTTATACTATTTTGTTGAGGAGTTCAGACATAATAACTTTGATTAGATGTATCTCTTCAAGGAACAACATCACATGTCATCTAAAATAACACAAAGCAAGAGTACAGCAAATACCCATCAACATTACTTGCACCATCTGCTGAAGTCAAACCTAAAGCATATCCACGATCATACAAAGGCACGGAATTACCATCTACAGGAGTGAAACATTTCTGCTCCTTTGTTGTTTGGTTATCCATCCAAAACGACTGCAATAAAAAAGAGAAAGGTAATATATCTGAAATCGATAACAACGAACTTATAGGATATATAGTCCTGCCACAATGAATCTTGAATCTTCATGATGCAACACAGAAGAGCAAGGATAACATGGAAAAAGGCATCATTAATACCACAAGAAACCCACTAGCCAAGATTTGCCTTTAAAGCACAAGCCTAAATTAAATGAAAATAAAAGAGAGAGCAAATATAAGGAGAAATAAGAAAAACCAATAACCTCATAACCACATAAATAAGCATGTTTTCCATGCATTGAACAAAGTAATTTTATGTGCAATATACTTGCTGAAAAGTAAATTGTTGTATGCTCAATTGAATGTGACTTTCAATTACTTGAAAGGAAAGATATAGTAAAATCAGTGATCTATAAAATACAAGACAGCAGCCCCTTTGGCTTTTCAAATAAAACTCACAAATATACTAACTTCTAAAATATATAATTCATCGACTGGATGCTGCAACAGAATTTTCTAATCCGCAAGCTCACTTATATATGTTGGATCATCTGAACTCATGCTCGTTAGATTTAGTAGGCAGGTTAAGCTTTTGATAGAAAAACTCATTAAGTATGGCTTTGGCAAAGTCAAAACAAACTGGAATGACAAGCAGGTGCCGCAGAAACTATACATCCAACTACAATTGATGACAACAAGTAAAGCCTATTCAGGGAACACCATTAAGGATAAAACAACGAAAGAAACCAAACAATCCAGACTCGACACAAAAAGCAGAATTGAGACCTCTCAATCTGCAGGTTTGCAAATTCACCTATCATTCATGAAACTCACCACTGCAGGTGCCTTTTCCATGCCAATCTGAAGAGCGGGAAAGAATGTCTCCTCACCACATTCAAACACTTCATCAGGATCCTGAACAGAGAGACATATTGTAAGCCTCTAATAATTCTTTGGAAAACCTGAATAGGAAGAACTGTATTTGTTAACAACAAAATATATGACCAGAATATAGCATTTTTTTCAAGAACTTTCACTTACAAGCTCCAGAAAAAGGGAACCTCAAGGAGGATCTATGCAAGAATTTAACAAGACGTTTTCAATCAAAAAACACAGAAATCTAAACCTAGGAGCAAAACCTTCCATTTTTTGATAAAAGAAGACATATTATCAGGGGACAATAGAAGATAGTGACAACAGAACAAGACTAGAGGATGAGATAGAGTCTAATAAAAGCTAGGCAAAAAAACAATGTCAAATACATCAATTAAGCAAAGCTAGCCAGTCAAACTAAATGTCCAACAAAGAAATCTCTCTAAAATAACCATCAGCTGAGCACCATTATGCGGCTAAGAATACTACTTTCTGCAGCCGATGACTTTTATACTAGAAAATATAATATAATAGCCTTTCATATCCCTGCCAGTACACCAAATATTCAAGGATCCTCCCCTTTCTAGATCAATGAAGTTGTTGAAAAGGTCAGTTTTTACAGAACTATTAGACCCATATCTAAATCCAATAATAAACTTTTGGCCAAGTAGTCCTTTCTGATTTGTCAACATGCAAAGGGAAAGAAGAAAAAAATTCACTTCCAACACAAATGAGGAGTAGATCTTAGCAGATTCCTTTCCATAACTCATATCTCACCAAGACCACTTCAGGTTGAAGTTGAACCATGAAGAATTCATCCCGTAGATTCAAAAAGCCAATTACTTGTCAGATTATTGCATTTCATCAGGGATTTGTATCTGAAGACCAATACACATTGATCATCACCTCACCCCTCAGTAAAAACTATTAACAGACATCAAAACAAGCTTCAAGGTTGATTTTGAAAGCACTCTCACTGGAAGCGGTCCTATGGTTTCAAAAGATATTTAAGCCTGAATTTGAATTTGTTAATCCTTAATGACAAAGTAAATATTGTTTGGATTACTGTTCAACCACAGCACATGTACACGCTCCAAGTTTATTTCATTCATTACTCCTTTGACTAAAAAACTCCATATTCCCTTTTTCTTCATCTTTTCTTGTAGGGCCACTTACTCTCATCCTCTTATTACTCATAATTGTTAGCACCATTCTTCTTCCTTTAAAGAGAAATCCAATTATCTATACCTTGGATAAAGAAACATGCTGAGCATGCCATTCTGACCATTGCTGTAGTAGTCCCTCAAGCTTTCGTTTACTAGCTCTGAAAACAGAACGCAAAAATATCAAAATACTAACATTGTAAATATGTATATTAACCAACAAAACGAGCATGCATCATCATGATTTTTGTCAGAAAAAAATTATTATGCACATTTTTTCTTATTATTCTCCTCTCTTTTTTTTCATCCCTCCCACCCTTAACTAAAATCACACACTGTAAATTAATGTGTGTTCCACTCTTATATTGGCAAAAACATGAGTCATGTCCCATTGTAGTTTTACACAACTTTACTTATCAGTTCAAAGACAAGAATAGCACTAACACTAACCTTGTTAGGGAATTATAGACAACATGCACTGAAGGTTGACGTTCATCTATAGTGACGCGGGCTCTTTTAGCACCCACTTGAGCTGCGTGTCATAAAGGAGAACACTTTGATATCATATAATATGTTTTGGTTGGAGACTTGGACATGTATGATGGTGAACAAATGCATGAAAGGAAGTTAAGGCAGAAAAACTAAATATACAGTAGCAAATTTGATAAAAATTTAAACAATAAAAAAATTAATTGAAGATATCACACAAAATATTATTTGAATCCAAATTTACCCATTACACTGGTACAAATAAAACTTGGAAGAAAAAACTTCTCATTCTGAAAGGGGAGAGAACTGAATTTGTCCACCAAGTATATCATCACAATTTATGAATATTTTGAATGACTCTGCCCACAAAGAAAGTAAATTTATAATATTGTGCTTGATCACATGAATACTAGCTGTGGCACATAGCACGGACAGAATCTTTTAAACCCCCGTTATCCCACTAAAAACTAAAAAAGTGTTTATTACGCAGAAGTTTTCTTTATCTTTTTTGATAGAACAGTCAGCATTGTGTGTTTAGGATTTCAATTCCAAAGTGCTTCAAGGAGATATTGAATCCAGGTTGCTAAAGAGAAATAATATCCTCTCTTAACAACTAAAGCTAACCCCTTTGGATATATGCAGGACTTTCTACACAGTAGAAATCAGTTTGCAACCTATGAAGTAATACAGGCTTGAAGAAAGTATACAAAACAACAATAAGTTGCTAAATTCAATAAAGGATACAACTTGTATTGGGACTTCCATCCCTGAGAGCTTGGAAACCATTCTCACCAATTGCTCCTGGGCTTGAACATTTCGGTTCTTCAGAGACTATGACAGTTTCAGTCAACTCAAAATTCACCTGCAAGGCAGATTGACCATCTTCTAAATCCTCACCATGCTTCGCTTCTGGAAAGCAATGAGCACTGTCAGGCTGAATAAAATTCTCAGTCTGGCACAGCTTTCTATTTTCCATCTCATTGTCTTTGTCCAAAATATCACTGGGTTGAGTGCCCATATCACTAAACTTTTCTTTGTTCTCATGCTTACAGCCAGTATTAATAGATACAGGAAAGCTAACAGTATCTTCAGTTTCCATTAGTGCGTGATTGTCAACATGAACTTCTACGAGGTTTGCACCTGACATGCAGCAAGTATGTTCAAAATCAACATCACCTTTGTGTTCCACACTTTCCCCACTTAGAATGTCTTCTTTATGCTCAGAATTGTTAGATTGAGAATCAATGCTACTGTACCCAAATTGGGTTTTGCTCTTTTCACTTTCAGAAACAGAATCAACTATGGATGGAAGTTTATTTAAATCCTCATCTTCCATATCTAAAAGATGTAAGAACTCTATCCGACAGCAACTTCACCAGGAAAACCACAGAAACAGTTTTAATATCAACTTTGACAAGAGAACCACCGTTAAGGGGCTGCAAAAGTTGACCAGATTTTAGTGAAATGAGACTAGTAAATCAACGAGAAAAGATGTCTACAAAAAGGTTCCGGCAATAAAACAAAATTGCCAAAATAAATTTAAAATATCAAGCAACAAACGATAAATGCTAGCTCAGCGTGATTATACTCAAAAGTTGGGCAGTTTATAAATATTTAAATATTCAAAATACTCCACAACTTCAAATTTCAAAAGAAAACGTGAAAATCTACTTGTTTCCTTGAGAGAAGTAAGATGCGGATGTTGATATTATCAAAGCGACCAGAAAATATACCATAGAAATCCAGCATTTCAGCTAAAGATCCGTGGCAACTGCATGAACAAAGAAGACACCGGCAATGCGGGTGTAGCATGAATTATGGAATTCCGTAAATTAATCTGAAACCTCACAACACACAACATGAAAATTGAAGACGAGAAACAAAAATTTAACAATAAATGGTCGAGTAAGATATAAGAGCAATAGCAGAACTACCATATGAGCATGTCTAGTAGCCAACACTAAGCTCAATTATCAGCAAATGATAGAAATAATAAGAAAACGAGCATAGTTAATCCTGATTTCATCCTTGAAGTATGAGATATCAACACGCATAGCTCAGTGTGCATAGTAAAAGAAATCGGAGAAATGAACGAGAGAAAAACCAACCTCGAAAGGAATCGACTAGTTCTTGGAGGTTGCTCCGGCGTCCTCTGGCATGGCAGGAATTCCACAGCACGGAAACCAACACAGAAAGCCGAGAAGCAGAAACCCTAGACGGAATCCCGTTAGTTTGACTTGATTTCTTTTGGGTGCCAAACCAAAACACGTTTTGTGTCGTTATCACTGTTAGCTTTTCCCAGATCGCCATTGAGATCCTGAGCCGCAAGCGCGATATTTTTAAAAACTTATAATTATAATTCAGAATAAATTTTCTTTAAAAAAATGTCCGAAAATCAATATCAATAATTTTCCCAACAAAATCAAAATCAATATTAATAATTAATAAATTAATTTAATACAATCAGTGGAACAGAATATATTGGACAGAATTTTTTGTTAAAAAATAATATGACTAGTCTCAAATTCTATACCATGCATCTTCATCAATAATAATATATAGTAAACTATTGATTGCCAATATGTGTGTAATATATATTAAACTTTAAACAAAACAACTTATATTGAAAGACACAAATCTATGACATGTGAGGAACATGATTTACATGTAACTAACAGAGCGATTTTGGCTTTTTTTTTTAAATATGTCATTGAATAAAATTCAAATGTTATCAGGTTTAATTAGAAGTAATTTTCCGAAAAACAATTTAGAACTATTAAACATATTTGGTATGATTTGGAGAATGTTTGCATATTTTCTTTCTAATACATTGATAGAGTAGGCGCCAAAGAAAAGCATGGGAGAATTTGATGATTTTGGTTGTCATCCTCTGTATTTTTATCCTTTTGCTCCTTTCATAGTTTTATATTTTAATATGTGTGTGTAAGAATAAAAAGGCCACATAAACATTGTGCAAAGTGACAAGAATCATGTCATTTTAGATGCCTAGTGAGTAAGCCAATCTATATTGTTATTAACTTCTCCAACTATGTGATCCAAAATGATCGTCTAGTCTCTTATGACATGATCCCTAATTTGATTGATAGTATTAGACAAGAGGTGATTGGGCAAATTCATGCTGAATGAGTGTGCACGATCTCCAAAATGTTTGGAAAAGCCTTTTAGACAAATTCTTTGATCATCATGAATGAGACTTCCACAAGCAACAAGGCTCTCAATGTTAACTGAGCCATCTATGTCAAGTCTTACCTAGCCTAATTTAGGAAAATGCCATCTGGCTTAAGATCTATCATGGCCCAAAGATAAGATGTTCAGTTGTGATTGAAGATTAGGATCATTGATCATGTCTTGGGTGTAAGAGAATACAATATCTTTGTTAGGGATAGTTTTTTTTTATCAGTAGATGATTTTGCACTTTTCCCCAAATGTTCGAACATATACAAGCACAAAGTCTTTGCCAAAAATGTTGTAATAGTTGAGAGTGGTCTGTCAAAATGATAAATCCTACATTGCTCACACAAGAGAAGCTCCAAGGGTATGAGTACCAGGAAGTGAAAGTGGCTAATTAAAGGGCTTGGAGGAGAAGTGAGCTTACGTGCACGAGATAGGCCAACGCAGGGTAGTTATAATTGAAAACAACTAATTTGCCCCCTACACGCAAGTTAAGGCAGTATTGGGATACTTTTTATCTTATTATTTTTGCAAAAATGAATAATTATTTATTTAAAAATTGCCTACTAAAAAGCCTTTTATTTTGATTGTTTGAAATTTGAATTTGAACCTCATCCCTTTTATGGGCTTTAAACAGATCTCACTAAGGATAATTATCCTCTAGACGACTCTAGACAAGTACTTAATGGTAGTTTATATGCTTATAACTAATACTTAATAGTGGTTTAACTTAGTGTTTTAGGTAGGGGTGAGCAAGTGACTTGTGAACCAGTAAACTCGCCCACACCCGCTTGTGTTTGGCTAATTTAGGCTAGCCCAAACCTACCCAAAAATAAAAATGGGTAGGCTAGAAAAAATATGGGTGAGGCAGGCTACGAGTAGACCTTCAGACTACCTGTTCTCGCCCGTATATATTATTCTTATTAAAAAGTCTATTAGATTGAGTCGGTCTAAAATTTGGCCAAAAAAATCAATCCAAAAAATCATATGTAAAGCCAAATCCATTAGCTCCCCCCTTGCGTCACATATTTGCAAATTCTCATTTCCCAAATAAAAGAACCTTAGCGTCTCTTTTTTTCACTCCTCTCTCTCACCAACTTCGCCAATGCCCAAGCCTTATCACCTTCTCATTCATGCTTTCATAGCTCTGGGGAGTTGATCTAACTAAAAAGGAAGGCTGAAGTTAAAGGAGACTAAAAGGACTTGCAAGAAGAAATCAAAAAATAAGTAATTTGCATCTTTCAAGTATGTACTTTGTCGCCTTCTTCTTCAATCTTCATCTGAAACCCTTGCATCTCCCTCCGTTGTAACACACCAAAATTTTTTTTTAAATAATTTAACTCAACCATAGTTGGGTTACAGCCACCCAACACATTTTTATATCAATAATTTCAATATAAAATATTTTATAATCGGCTTCAACTCACACACTATAACATTTCAGATAAATTTTTACCTCCCACATGCCATTAGGCTAAATCACATTTGTCCATCCTTATACTCCCAACAAGTAAACTAAATCACATTTGTCCATCCTTATACTCCCAACAAGTAAAATAAGCAATTTAATCAATTTTCAACACAAGCCAGTTATTTGACCTTATAATCATGCCATTTTAACCAATCCAAAGTAAACCAAATATTAAAATTACAGTCATCCAAATTGTACCAAAAATAGAAATAGTTTGAAAGGCATGATTACATTTATATATTCATATAATTGACAATAAACAAAAAGCCCTAATATTGGCAATATAATACATTATAAATCATAAATTAAATACCCAAAAGAGACAGTGGATCTATACCACTAAGCCTCTGGGACTCCTCCACGTGTCACTCTTGGCTCTTCTCCTGAAAATTGTTAACCACATAATGAGACTCAAAAGTCCCAGTAACCGAAGCCAATTTATGATAGTGTATACAAACAGTTAAGTGTGTGCTTACTAAGTGAGAATTAAAAATAATATAATTCCAACAAATATAAGAAATATTATAATAAACACAAACAACCATCCTTATATCCCTCCATTAACCTCGAGCCGTAGCCCTCACTCGGTACTAAATTGCCCGGCCAAAGGTAGATTAGCCCGAGCCCTTACAAACCACCTATTGAGCTCCAATAGGGGCGTACCACGTGGCACATAAATACAACAATAATAGCAAGTCTCCCAACACCTCCCACAATAATCAAACAAATTCATAATAATATTGCACAATTATACAATATTACAAAATTCATAATTTTCTCAATAATCACCCAATTAACATGAAGTAACACTAATCACAAATTAAAAGCATGGTTACCTTGTGGCTTTTTCAATAAATTATTCCTTAAAATTTCTCTCTCACCACAATCTTCACCAGTAATACAATCTACAAATAACATATTATTTATAAATATTAGTTTCAATTTTTGAAACTAATAAAATAATTCTAATAATAGAATTAAAAATATAACATAATTCCTAATCTCAATCTTAATACAAATCTATAGTTAATACTATTAAGTATAATTTTTAACTCCTCTTTTAATTATCAATAAACATTAATAATCTAAAAATCAACTTCTAAACTAATTTCTATTATCAAAATTTTCTTTTTATTTCATAAATTCGTACCTAAAATACTCAAAAATTAAAAATTAAGTCTCTAGCTTAGAATCATAATCCTATAACCATAATAATTCATTTCTCATCCCAAATAATCATCTAAACCTCAATAAATCAACATATATTTTCAGATCTAGTTTAGAATTTGATCCATAAGCCATAAATTCAAAGATCATTAACAAATTTATACTCTATAACATTTATTATACTACTGACAACCTCAAAAACCATATTTATTCAACATAAATTCATCCCTCTTTCAGATCTTAAATTTTCTACCACTACAAACTCAGAAACTAAAGAAGAAGGATGACTAAGAAAAATTTTTAGAACACTTACTTAGTCTTGAAAAGCTTAAAATCACACCCTAAATATCCTATTAAAAACTCTTACCTTAAAACCCAGCACCGGTGAATTTGGCTCACAGATGCTCTCTCTGCCGAAGCTCACGCACGAAAGAAGGAATGAAGAAATGAAGGAACAGGTGAGTTTTTATAAAAATTCAGTGGGTCCCACATTTTTTTTAATTATTTTCTCTCTCTTCTTCTTCTTTTCTTTTTATTATTATTTTATTATTGTTACTGTTGAGGCGGCGGACGAAGCAAATTCGTTTTCTTCTTCTTCTTCCTTTCTTTTCCTTTCTTTCTTTTTATTATTATAATAATAATAATTTAATAATATTTTATTTTTTTATTTATTATTATTTTTTTATTTTTTTATTTATTTTTATTTATTTTTTTATTATTTTTTTATTTTATTTTATTTTTTTTTGCATACCTTTTTTTTTATAATAATAATTTAATAATACTTTTCAAAATTTTTATTAACCCAAATTAACTATTAAAATTTAAATTGGGATGTTACAATTCTCCCCTCCTTTTAGAAATTTTGTCCTCAAAATTTAAAATTAATAACTATTAACTACTCACTTAATCAAAAAGATGAGGATAATCACGTCGCATACTGTCCTCGGTCTCCCACGTAACATCACCTGGAGTTGTGCTCTTCCAGATTACTTTAACCAATCTAATGGTCTTATTTCTTAATTGCTTGTCCTTATAATCCATAATCCTTTCTGGTTCAGCTCTGAATGTCAAATTCTCCCTGAGTTCAATTTTCTCGGGTTCAATTATATGGGAAGGATCTGGTTGATACTTTTTCAGTTGTGACACATGGAATACGTTGTGTATTCCAGCAATTTGGGGTGGTAATGCTACTTGGTACGCTACTGGTCCAACTCGTTTTAAGATCTCAAAAGGCCCCATAAACCTTGGTGTTAACTTCTTAGCTTTAATAGCTCTTCCAACACCAGTTACCGGAGAGATTTTTAAAAATATATGGTCACCTACTTCAAACTCAAGCGGTCTTCTCCTCTTATCCGCATAACTCTTTTGTCTACTTTGAGCTGTGAGTAATTTTTGCTTGATTAAAGCAATCTTTTGGGTAGTCTCATCAACAATGTCTGGCCCCAAAACAGTTCTCTCACTTAATTCTGTCCAACACAGTGGCGATCTACATTTTCTTCCATACAATGCCTCATAAGGTGCCATCTGAATGCTAGAATGAAAACTATTATTGTAGGCAAATTCAGCTAATGGCAAGTGACTATCCCAATTACCTCTAAGCTCAATGGCACAAGCTCTTAACATGTCTTCAAGAGTTTGTATGGTTCGTTCCGTTTGCCCATCGGTCTGGGGGTGGTAAGCTGTGCTAAAACTCGGACGAGTACCTATGGCTTCCTGTAATGACTTCCAAAAGTTTGATGTGAATCTCGGATCACGATCAGATACAATATTTGTCGGCACTCAATGCAATCTCACCACTTCTCTTATGTAGATTTCAGTTAATTTTTCGAGAGAATACTTGATATTAGTAGCCAGAAAATGAGCTGATTTGGTGAGTCGATCTACGATTACCCATATAGTGTCATGACCAGAAGATGTTCTAGGCAATCCTGTAATGAAGTCCATAGAAATGCTGTCCCATTTCCACTCTGGAATATCAAGAGACTGTAGCATCCCGGCTGGTTTCTGATGCTCAATTTTGACTTTTGACAAGTCAAACAACGAGTTACATGTTCAGTTACATCTCTCTTCATCCTTGGCCACCACCAACCACGTCTTAAGTCATGATACATCTTAGTTGCTCCTGGGTGAATGGTATATTTACTCTGATGAGCCTCCTCAAGTAAGATATTTTTCAATCGAGCATCATTAGGCACGCACACTCTACCTTTATATCTTACGACATCATCATCGGTCACATCAAAATGTTCAGCCTTTCCAGCCCCAATCTCTACCCTAATCTTATTCAAATAATCATCCTTCTGCTGCGAAATTCTGATTTCTTCCCAAAAATTATTCTCAAATTCAGTAATATGTAGAGCAGCCAAACGATTTTCGACTACTTCTACATTTACTGCATGAAAACTACTCCATAATTCATGTTCTCTGACCATCATGTGAGCAGTATGTACAAGCTTCCTGCTCAGAGCATCGGCGACTACGTTAGCTTTCCCTGGATGATACTTCAACTCAAAGTCATAATCCTTCAAAAACTCAATCCATCTGCGCTGTCTCATGTTGAGCTCCTTTTGATCAAACAAATATTTTAAACTTTTATGATCACTGAAGACTTCAAAAGAAGAACCATAAAGATAGTACCTCCAAATCTTCAAGGCAAATACCACAGCAGCAAGCTCCAAGTCATGAGTAGGGTAATTTTCCTCATGAGGTCTCAACTGTCGAGAGGCATAAGCCACTACTCGATCCTCCTGCATCAATACACAACCTAAACCTTTCTTAGAAGCATCAGTATATAAGGTATAAGGAGCAGTTGGAACAGGTAAGGTGAGCACCGGTGTGGTGGTCAACCTCTTTTTCAGTTCCTGGAAGGCAACTTCACACTCGTTCGTCCAAATAAATGGAGCATCTTTCCTGGTCAACTTAGTCAAGGGCATTGCAATTTGTGAAAAACCCTTAATGAAACGACGATAGTAGCCTGCAAGACCCAAGAAACTCCTAATTTCTGTCACACTTCGAGGTTGTTCCCATTTCATCACTGCATCTATCTTACTAGGGTCCACTGCTACCCTTTCTTCTGAAACAACATGGCCTAAAAATTTAACTTCTTTAAGCCAAAAATCACATTTGCTCAACTTGGCATAGAGCTTGTGCTCTCTTAATATCTCCAAAACAATTTTAAGATGTCTAACATGGTCCACCTCATCTCGAGAATAAATAAGTATGTCATCAATAAAGACTACAACAAATTCATCGAGATAAGGCCTGAAGATTCGATTCATATAATCCATGAAGACAGCTGGGGCATTTGTTAACCCAAATGGCATCACCAGGAACTCATAGTGCCTATATCTAGTCCTAAAAGCAGTTTTAGGGATATCCTCTGCTCTAACCCTCAATTGATGATACCCTGATCTTAGATCAATCTTAGAAAACACCGCTGAATTGACTAATTGGTCTAACAAATCATCAATTCGAGGTAAGGGGTACTTATTCTTGATAGTTACCTTATTCAATTGTCTATAATCAATACACAATCTAAGGCTTCCATCTTTCTTTTTCACAAACAGTACCGGTGACCCCCATGGTGATACACTCGGTCTGATAAACCCCTTCTCTAACAACTCTTCAATTTGTCTCTTCAACTCAGCTAACTCCGATGGAGACATCCTATAGGGTGCCTTAGAAATAGGCCCCGTACCAGGTACGAGTTCAATCGAGAACTCAACCTCTCGTTCTGGAGGCAAACCGATCACTTCAGTAGGAAAGACGTCAGGGAATTCTCTCACTACTGGAATCTGATCTACACCTTCTTCAATCTCTGCCTTGATTGAGAAGAAAATCATAAAAGCTTGACAGCCCTTTCTTATACACTGTTCTACTTGAGCTGCAGACAACAACATAGGACTTTGGGACTCCACAGGGGTTACAGTAAGAGCTGAGAGTGACACACTCTTTTTCTGACAATCAAGTACAGCTCCATTTGCAGACAACCAATCCATCCCCACAATAACATCAATCCCAGACAAAGACAAACAAATGAGGTCTATGGTGGTCTTTCGACCCTCATACTCAACCTCTACATTTAGACATGCCTTAGCAGTCCTTACAGTCAAACCAGCAGGAGTAGAAATCTTCACATCAAAAGGTAAGGTACACACAGGCAATTTACATCTTTTCACACATTCATCAGACACAAAAGAGTGTGTAGCACCCGAATCAAACAAAGCACAAACATCATTATCAAGGATTTGGATTATACCTCTGATAGCATTAGGGTTGTTAGCAGCCTCTGGCCCAGAGAGGGCATACACTCGTGCTGGTACTGTAGGTCTCTGATCATTACCCCTATTTTGGTTTTGATAGCAGAATCTAGCAATATGACCAGGCTTCTGACAGATGTAACAAACCCAACAATCACCAGAATGAAACTTCCCACACTTACTGCATGCTTGATTACTAGCAGCACTAGGAGTAGGATTAAAGGTAGCTGGGCTCCTATAAGACCCTTGACTTCCACTCTGATTCCCTCTGTAGCTCTGGCCCTTATGATAGTAGCCCTTCTTCTTCTGATTTCTAAAACCTCCAAAGATTTGACTGCTCCTCTTCTCTACTCCACCAATGGGTCGGGTGTGGATAGGGGGCTTCCCATGAGGTTCTTTCCTCCTCTCTCTATCAGCTTCTAATCTAGCCTCTCTCTTCCTCCGAGAAACTATTCGAAGCTTATTGCACATCTCACTGAATGTCTTGATCTCAAAAGGGGCTAACTGTTCCCTTAGATCAGGCCTCGCCTTCTCTAGTAATCGTTCAGCCATCCACTCCGTGTCTTCATGTTTCTGGAGGTAAGTAGAGTATTTAGATAATTCTGAGAATTGTTCAATAAATTCATCCTCATCTAAATCACCCTGGCGGAATGCATGAAACTCAGCCTCCTTTTCTGCTCTCAGTGCAGTAGGAAAATAATTCTCGAACAATATGACTTTAAAATCTTCCCAAGTAAGAGAGGAATCATCCTTCGGTCCTAATGTTTCCCACCATTTCTTAGCACTCTTCTGTAGTAGGAATATTGCCAGCTGCACCTTTTGATTAGAAGTGCACACAACCATACGAAAAATACTCTCCAATTGATCTATCCATTCTTCAACCACTGCTGGCTTAAGATTTCCATCGAAAGTAGGAGGATTAAACTTACGAAAAGTACTCCAGATCTTTGTAATCGTGGATGTCTGTTGGTCAGAGTGGAGACTCACATTCTTCGGACTAGTCTCATGGTGAGAATAGGAAGGTAAGCCTTCATCAGCAGATTGGCTCGCATTGAATACCTTGGTATGGCTTCCTTCTTGTTGGCCATTTCCCTTTCGGTTATCATTCTCCTTATATTGTCTTAAAGCGGCCAACTCTTCTTCTTGTCTCTTCATACGGTCACTAAGATTATATAGTAGATCCATCATTTGCCTCATAGTTGGCTCATCCTGCCTTAGTTGTGACTGTATGGGCTCGCCCTGCCCAATTTGTTGCTGTGTGGACTCCGGTTGTGGCAGTGAAGGTATGTCATT